CGATGGTTTTCAAGAAAAGTAAAAGATGTTGCAAACGACCAATTTCTACTGAAGATACTAGATCTAGCGATTAACTTGACGCATTCATATTATTAAGAATATTGAACTGTTCTAAAAGTGCTATAGAAGAAAAACCCTTTGTTGTTGCATAACTTTATTTGGTAATCAACTGCTTTTTTGATAAATTTTTCAATGAATGGTAGACGAGAAATGGTCCCCATCCTATTAGTACACCTCGTAGCTGCATAGCGCACTATACCTTCCTACTTATAAACTTGCTTAGATTTTTTTGTTACTTTGTTTCATTGCCCATCTTTTCATAACCAACAAAACATATCTGTAATCAAAAAATTCCTAAAAATAAATACGTTCACGGTAAAGCCAAATCTACGCTAGATTCGCTTTGCAATCTTGGCATTTTTTATCTATGGCGCTTTGCAATTCAATAGGCATTAGAATGCGAGACTAAATGTGCAGACATGTGATTGGGATCTATTGGGCGAGAGAAGATTGGTGGAGCCAACAGGGATATAAAAACCAAGCGCGTTTGCTTGGGTTAGGGCTACTGTAATTATTAAAATTTAAATCAGGGCATACTGTAGCAAATGATTAGTTGTACAAGTATCCTTGACGGGCTCTAATCTGTGATGGAAAGAAACAGAGCGGGTTGCATAACTGGATAGCTCAGACCAATTATCTTGTGTAATTCCGACAAGCTTCCTCCTTTCCCTTTCATATTTTCCATCCCGCTGACATTTCACCCCCTCCTATCCCTCGAATAAACCAGAACTACCCATGTGATCGCATGAACTCATAATGCGCAATGCCTTTTCAATATGTTATTGCTGCATCGGCGATTGGACAAAGAAGGATTTGTGTGTGGGCAAGTTGGCGACAATTGAGAGATTAAGTCCGAGGTCGTAAAGTTGGGGCCAAAGTGAGTGCTGCGCAAGAGGGTTACGGAGAGGGTAGACAGCAGGAGAGTTTGGATTTGGAAGATTTGGAGAACTGGGCCAAGTGAAAGTGTAAAAAGAAAATTTATAGTGATTTCCTGAAAAAAATTGACTCCTCGTTGGTCTAAAAAACAGAATTTTAGCACATATGTTGTAAAAAGGACTTTCTAAGAAAAAACCTCTATAAAATATTTTTTCCGATTTTGTAAGAAAAATTCCCTTTGCTCTTCTTGGATTTCAGAACTTTTTTTCAGATTTAAGACTTTACTCACAGAGAAATTTCGCAGAGAAAAAAGTCTTTGAGACTTTACTCACATCAAGTAACTACAATTAATCTTTTCCATT